TTATTACTATTAATTTTCTTACTTTTAAGTACTTTATGCACTTAATACCTCAAAATCCAAGTTCTTTGGGTCTTTAGGCCAAATCTTCTCCCTACAGCGGTTGGCAATCCTTGCCAGAGTGTCTGGATCCATGATGCCTCCTGGAAGAGGGTTGTCACCCGCAAGCTCATCTGTAACCCGCTCAGCAATCACTCGACCAGACTCCTGTAGGTTAGACACAGCTGTCTCCTTCACCTGAAATACAGATTAGAATCAAGATTAGCTGAAGCAATAATCATCTGTTCTTGTTAATCATCTTATTACATAAGCATTCATTTAATCCCATTATCAGTTAATTGAGTAGTAGCTAGTTAGTCACTTCAATGACAATGCATTTAAGCCTCTCACATGTTAATTAGGATTTTAACAAAACATCTTAACGACTTAACGACTTACCTTTATTTTCACCTGGGCCTGCTGAAGTGAACCTGGCTCAACTGGACGATTGTGTGTATGGGAACCTTTCATAAAGGTGTCTTTGTTCTGAAGCACAGTTGCAGCACACTTGGTTTGCCAACTACTACTCCAGTAAACCTTCTGACCTCGTATATGCTGAAAACCAAAGGAAAAGACATTAAATCAAAACCAAACCATGTTAGATTAACAATCAATTAAAATTGTAAAATTGACGTTATTTATACTGTTTTATCATATCATACACTTAAATCTTATATTTTTCCTTATCCTGACTCATGCTTAATTGCTTGTCTTCTTCTTCTTGCGAACGATAGTGGAACACTTGAATCCCCTTTTGAAGCTCCCTTCAGAAAAAGTGGACGTAAAATCACCCACGCCAGTTGTCTCCCTTCCCCCCATCTTTTGGCGCCAAAAGTTGGTCACATGATCGGCCATGCTTGTCACTCTCTCCTTCTTCGCCCTAGTGTCCCCTATACGGCATATATCCTTTGAATTTTAGGCTTTTATACTAAATTAGGCTGTATAAGGGCTTTATCAAGGATTTACCAACAATATGGTATGAAATTTATTCTAAATTTGTCCGTTTTTCACGTTGTTGACAACATGTCTCAACTTGTTTACATTTCATGAACACTTGCATTTCTTGCAGGTTTCGGTTGTCAGCTGCTGATCCGCATTCTTTATGTCCTAACTGCACTTCTATATGTTCTTCCAGCTTTCGCTGTAAACTTTGTCAACATTTATCTTAAATTGAATTTTGTAATTATTTATATTCTGTTCATAGACGTGCCAAGGACAAGTTGAGGCGACAATGACAAGTCATGTCTCAACAGGGTGAATGCGTTTATTACCGTGGGTTGTTGTCTGTCCAGGTACATCATTCCAGTGAGCTGCCGGTGGCGTCTTCAGAGCACAGGAATGAGGTTTCCAGCCTTAGGAAAAGATCGTCATCGACTCAACAATCCTCGTCGCAGTCCAAGAGGACTAGGACATCATCTGCTGTGAAGACTAAGCCGTCTTCAGACAAGTCTACAGTCACGTCGTCAGTGGGGGCAGCGAAGAAGTCGAGATCCTTTGCCGCAGATATCAACCCATCAGACGAAGCAGACATTTACGATGAGCCGCCGATCCTCATCCCTGAAGTACCAGTGAGGAAGAAGACGAGATCTTCTTCTACACTGACATCTGCAACTATATCAACGCAATCAGACGTCCTATCTACGCAGACTGCAGATACCAGAGAGGACAGGCAGTCCTTAGATGACACCTCAGCACTGTCAGATGTGGCGTCATCTGTACAACAGCATCAGTTATCAGCGCAGACCTTCAACCCGGGCATCTTTATGCAGCAGTTTACCCAGCAGATATCAACTATATCAACGCAATCAGACGTCCTATCTACGCAGACTGCAGATACCAGAGAGGACAGGCAGTCAACTTACGACCTGATGGAACGAAGGTTTGCTCAGGAGCAGACTGCGGAGAAGCAGCCGAATCTGCAAGGAGGACGAGCATCGTCTACACCCCATCGGGATGAAGGAAGCAACCTGCTTGAAGAGAACGTTCGTGAAGGGAACGTTCATGAAGACAGCAACACTCGTGACGGCAATCGCGAAGGCATTCGTGGAAGAACCACTCGTGAAGACACTCATGGAGACAACAGTCGAGACAGCACCTGCGAAGGCATTCGCGAAGGAAGCAACAATTATGAAGGAACTCCTGCAATAGACAAGGAGCATTCGCGAAGGCATCACAGATCATCTTCATCCTTGGACTCAGACAATCAACGGAGGTCTGCGGGAACGCCCCGTAGAAGAGAATATACACCTTCACGAAGGCATGCAGCTCACAGAGAGACAGGTCACCTTCGCGCAGGTCTTCAGGAAGGTCTTCATGGTCGTCGCCACGCAGATACAGATCACCTACCACATCTCCAGGAAGGCACTCATAGATCTCCACCTAGAGATCAGGACCAACGGCAACGATCTTCAGAACAAGACACATCTAAACCTGAAGATGATGGGGGAATCATTTGGTTAATGGTTTAGAGCTTGCATCACCATCTAAAGAGAATAATGAAGCATACACATACATGATGTCTAACGACGATTTTGACACGCTGACGCTGCCACCGATAGACCCTGTATTGGACGTCCCAGACAACCTCAGCTCAGCCTTCAAGAAGGCAACGAAGTATCAAAGTCAAAGCATTCCACCTTTTAATGCCAAGAGATTTTCACTACACCACATGGAACCATTCATGAAGGCCCCAGAAGTAGATGAAAACTATAAACTCATCAATGACGCTTGCATCAGGACTTATATAAAGTGGAGGACAAGAAGCTAGCTCAACTAGACACAACCACTAGACGTACCTTCTTTGGTTTAGCCAGATCAAGAGCCATCAAAGAAATCCTAATTGCGAAGTTTGCAAACTCAACATCTGAAGAAGATCGGATGATCTACTCAGCCTTACAGACTCAAAGGAAAGACCAACAGTTCATGTCAGAACATTTGCGTCTACATCGGCGGGATTAACGCTGCTAAGAAGGCAAGGTCTACTATCATCTTGTAAATGGAGTGAGAAGTTCACCAAACCGTTATTCAGAGCTCCATGGGCAGCAACGAATATCTTCGCAGGGGAGATTGAGGACGTGGCAAAAGAAGTTACGAAGGAGTCCAGAGAAGTCATGATGATCAAGTCCATCGATACACTGGCCAGCGTTATCAGACAGACATCACAGCGCTACTCTGGCAAATCTAAATTTGCAGGAATTCAGAGAGCTAGAGACAAGAAATATGGCACTTCCAAGGGATATAAGGATTCTTTTCGTCGCCCCACCGGGAGCTCCCAGAGGTAACCCCGGAAGAGGCAGAGGATTCAGAGGTACTAAACAAGCTACACAAGACTCCAGAGAGGTGATGATGATCAAGACCATAAACACCTTGGCCAACGTCATCCGCCATACATCCCAGAGATACAACAACAAGTCTAAGTACGCTGGGATACAGAGAGCTAAAGACAAAAAGTACTCCAGCTCCAGAGCCGGGAAGGACTCTTTTCGTCACCCTTCAGGCAACTACAGAGGAAACTCAGGAAGAGGCAGCGGCCCCAGAGCTTCCAGAGGTACCAGACGCTGATGGACAGGGTCTGAAGGACTGGAGTCTTCCACCCCCAACCGTTCCCATACAACCCTCACCAGTGGGTGGACCCCTACAACTTTACTGGAAGAATTGGGGAATTCTACCAGACGATTATGTATCCCAGATACTACACAGAGGATACAAGATAGAACTTCAAGTGGTTCCACCTTTAACAAGCACTCCTCAGATGTACAACTATGTTACCGATCAGAAGGAGAAATTACTCGATGCCATTACAGCTCTACTCGACAAGAAGGCAGTTGAAGAAATAAAAATCGTCACACCCGGTTTTTACTCCCCAATTTTCTAGTTCCAAAGAAAAATTCCAAGGAAAAGTTCTGACTGATTTACAACATGAAAAAATTCAACAAGGGTTATCTAAGAAACCCTGCAAGATTCAAAATGGTACATCTTCCACAACTCAGACAGATCATCCGTCCGTCAGATTATCTAGCCAGCATAGATCTACAGGATGCGTATCTTCACATCCCAATACATCAGGACTCAAGGAGATACCTCCGATTCCTATTCAACGGACGTCACTACCAGTGGAAGGTACTACTGTTTGGAATATCGTCGGCCCCCTGGTTGTTTACTCGAGTGACAAAGCCCATCGTCATTTACCTACATCATCAAGCTCTGCGCAGTGCGTTTTACCTAGACGATGGGATTCAAGCTCATCAAGATCCCAATCTACTCAGACGGCAACTGACATTTACAATCAAACTACTCACTCAACTAGGATGGTAAGTAAATCATCTCAAATCGGAATTGGAACCTACACAGGATCTACAATTCCTAGGAATACGAATCGTCACTTCAACGAATCGACTACTAGTCCCGGTGGACCGTTGGATCAAGATACAACAGATGATATCACAAACACTACTCTCTCCGTTACCACTACGAGAGTGGCAGAGTCTACTCGGTCTCCTCACGTCAGCACAAGACATGACACGCAGAGGCGGATTACTTTTGCGCCCACTACAAGTGTTTGTGAACGATCATCTAGACAGTCTGGATCCATTCGTCCTACCGCACGAACTGAAACCATACCTATTATGGTGGACATGGAAGTCGAATGTCTGCACGGGAACCTACTTAGCAGAGCCGGAATCCAACATTCATCTCTACACAGATGCATCCCTTCAAGGATGGGGAGCTCACTTAAACAACAAAGTGGCATCGGGGAAGTGGTCGAATCAGGAACAAAAGCTACACATCAACATGCTAGAGTAGAAAGCAGTTATAAACGCCTTACTAAACTGGTCCAGCATACTAAGAAACGCTCAACTGATGATCCATACGGACAACTCCACAGTGGCGTTTTACATCAACAAACAAGGGTCAACAAGGTCAAGGAGCATGTTGGACCTCAGCTTTCAACTATTCAGCATAGTAGACAACCTGAACATCGACATAAAAGCATCACACATTCCCGGAGCCAGAAATGTGATAGCAGACACCCTATCCCGTCCAATGAATCCATCACCGACGGAATGGATGTTACATCCAGAGGCATTCAGGGACATCATTCGGACAGTAGGATCCCCACTGGTAGATTTGTTCGCAACCAAGTTCAGCAAACAACTACCAACATTCGTCTCTCCGGTTCCAGATCCGCAAGCATGGGCAACAGATGCTTTGAGCATATCTTGGGAAGGACTCAACGCTTACGCGTTCCCTCCACCAGCGTTAATACCGAAGGTATTACAGAAAATCAAGGTGACGAACAAGTTACAACTGATTTTGGTCGCGCCTTATTGGCCAGCAAGAGAGTGGTTCCCCAACTTCATACAAGATATAGGAAATCCAATCCTACAACTTCCAAAGTGGCCAAATCTACTGATTCATCCACACACCAAGCAAGCACACAGAAACCCAATGTTTCAGCTACATGCATGGAACGTATCACGACTTGCTTGAAGAAAAGAGGATATTCAACCAGAGCTGCCAAAGCAGTAACTTTAGCCTTACGTAGATCAACCCGTACCTTGTATGATGACAAGTGGCAAAGTTTTGAGAAATATGCACGGAATAAAGGCTTCACTGCAATGGAAGCAACACATCCTCAAGTGGCGGAATATCTTTGTCATCTCAGACAGACAAAACGATTGAAGGGATCTACACTCTCTCCATACCTAGCGGCCTTGAGCACAGTTATCACGATGAAAACGGGTATAAAATTGACAAAAGTACCAGAGATACTGGCACTACTACGCTCATTCAAGTTGGAAGACCAACAAAGAAAATTCAAGGCGCCCGCTTGGGATCTCAATGTCGTTTTACAGCATCTTACCAGTGAAGATTACAAACCACTAGAAAGGACATCATATGAGAAATTAACTCATAAAACCCTGTTCCTCGTAGCCCTAGCAACAGCGGCAAGGATGTCAGAAATTCATGCTCTAGACTTCAGGAGAGCAAGATTTGACACGCATCGTGACACAGTGCATCTGGGACTAAGATGGGATTTTATAGCAAAGAATCAACTGCCCAGTCAACCAGACAGACAATTCCATATCCCAGCACTTTCGTCGATATTAGGACCACAGGATATGCAAGATCGATCCTTATGTCCAGTCAGAGCATTGAAAATATATCTACAGAGGTCTAAATTGGGGAGACGAAAATTCAAGCGCCTTTTCATCCCTCTATCCACGGAGACACCTACAGAAGTCTCACGTACAACTATATCAATATGGATGAGAGCCGTCATATTGAAAGCCTATAAAGCAGCAGGACTGGATCCTCCACGAGCCTCCAATCCTCATGAAGTCAGAGCACTGGCATCAACACTAGCTCTGCATGGAAACTGCTCCATCTCAACAATAATGGAGGGCTGCTTTTTTGAGGTCAGAGACAGTGTTTGCCAACCACTACCCCAGAGACATGGCTACAGAGGACGTCTCCGGCATCCACCAGTTTGGGCCTCTTGTTGTAGCACAACAATTGACGGTACCTCAAAGACGCTGAGATAAATCTCACCCCTTTGTCACGTGACTTGTAAAAGCCAACACTCAACAGAGTTACGGTTTTAAAGTCCATGCGCATATCTAGGACAGGCTAGCATGAGTGATAGACCGTGTACTTGTAAGGACTTACTTGTACACGAAGTAGGGTCACTTCTCCACTTGATGCAAGCATCAAGAGATGGAGTTGTATAAATCCACACAGAATGTCAGGAGAAGATTTCCAGGATAAATCTGACAAGTTGTGGTCCCCCCACTCATCAGAGGAAGCTGGAAGAAAGGACAAATGCCACTAGAAGTTCCCAAGGGGGTATAAGGACGTAAATCAGCAGAGAATCCAGAGTGGCTTGACCCACCACCGTTTCCATCAGATTCTACAAGCAATTAAGCATGAGTCAGGATAAGGAAAAATATGTAATTTTCTGATTAAAATTGATATTTTATACTTATCCTGACTCATGAGGTTAGCCCTCCCAACCTCCCCTCATGGCACTCTGGATTTCCCTGCAAATCCAAGTGTCGGGCTCGAACTAACGGAGAGAGTGACAAGCATGGCCGATCATGTGACCTTTTCGCGCCAAAAGATGGGCACAGGGGAGACAACTGGGGTGAGTGATTTTACATCCACTTTTTTTAAGGGAGCTTCAAAAGGGGATTCGAAGTGTTCCACTACAGTTCGCAAGAAGAAGACAAGCAATTAAGCATGAGTCGGATAAGTATAAAATATCAATTTTAATCAGAAAATTACATATTCATATGAATTATTTCTATTACTATTACACATGTTGATGTATACCAACCTTTTGAACATAGGTATATCCTCCCGAAACGAGGAGAGGCTTCCCCTTCTGTGTGCCCCTATCAAGTACTGTGTAGTCAATTGTCTCTGGTTCTCCTGGACATAACACTTTCTTCAGTTGAAAGCTCCATGGACCTCTCAGCAAAGTCTGTGATGTCTTGTATATCAGCACAAGGGACTTGGTCTGATCCATCTCCTTCAGAAGTCTCCAACGTCAGATAGAAATGACCGACTTCTATACTGACAGATGCAGCAGCATCTTCAGTGGACTGGCACATGTAACAGCTAAAAGGAAAACGATCCCCACTAACCACAAGCTGTAAATACTGAGCCTAGATTTTCGAAGCTCACTTAACGCTAAGATAGTCGTAAGTGCCATACATTAACATTAACTTACGACTATCTTAGTGCTAAGAGAGCTTTGAAAATCTAGGCCCTGGTCTCTTGACACTCCTGTGTCGCATGTCCTGTGGGACCATCTTGTGCAACAATCACACTTGATGGCATGCTGGTTCTTCCTCACTGTTTTCAAACACTTCACACACTTTACTGCCATAGTAGAGTGAAGTGATATCAAAAACAAGTCTGTCCATGATTTTATAGTCACACATTGACACAGAGTCGACTCAGTGTCAGTTGTAAGGTTTAATAACAAAGAAAACAATACTCTAAAGTATTCTGACAGTATTCACTGAAGAGCAGAGAAAACAAGACATCCTAGGAATTAGTGACAACTTACATGATAGTCAAAACACAAATATGGCATGAAAGGGATAGGTTGTGTATATATGTTTTTGTGTAATATTTAAGTTTCTTACTGGTGTTTTGTGGTACTATTGTTAAACACATTATATTTGTCATAATCATAAATGACAAGTGTTTTGATACTGAAATGAAATAAATAAGCATTATATACATCTTTTGTTTGTCATTATTTTCTTTCTAATATTGAAAAAAATATCTATTAAAAACAGGACTAGTATGCATAAAATATACATTGTATAGATGTATAACCTTTACTATAATAATTTTGAAAAAAGATGTTATTATTAGGGCTCCTTGCCTCTAGGCAGGAGACCTATTGTAATCGTTCGGATTATTATTATTATTATTTATTATTCCGCCAATTTTTGTACCAAACATAACTCCTAAACCAATGCTCCGAATCGCTCACAAAAAATCACACAGATGCGCACCCGGGTGTAGATATTCCCCTTAAAAATCTCTAGGCTTTTGGCCCAATAGCAAAGTGGAAATAATTCAAAATTAATTCCAAAATTTCAACGTTTGACAGCAAATATCTCAAGAACTAATTGTTCCAACACTTCCAAATTTCTTGTACAGATGCACAATCGAATTCCCAACAATTTTGCCTGGACGGGTCAAGTCGCTAAAACGTAGCTTTTGGCAGTTATTTTTGTTTTCAGTTTTTCTGAGTAGTTTGGAGGATCCGCTCGCCTGTCAAAAAACATGTGTTCTGGCTATGTTTGGGACAATGATATCTAGCCCTCAGATACAATAGATAGATAGATAGAAAGTAAAGCCAAGGAGACCTCATCGATGCCCGCAACTATATTTATTATTTTATTTATATGGGGCCCTTTTGACTATGGGTCTGCGGCCCTTTTGACTTTTTGATGCGGCTCTTTTGACTTTTTGATGCGGCACTTTTCATTAGGGGTTTGCGTCCCTTTTGACTTTCTTGAGGCCCATTTGACTTTTCCGTTTTGCGGCCCTTTTGTCATGCGGCCCTTTTGACCTGTTCCCGTTCCAAGTCATGATTGAATTTATCTTAAAGACCTCAAGAAATTTATGTTCCTAACATACTAGTCATCCTTTAAAGGTGTGCAATTTGCAAAAAAAACAACAAAGAACTACATGTTTTTTTCGTTATGTTCGTGTGCAAACATAAATAAACAGGAAAATTTCATAAATGACGCTAACCAGGTATTTTCGATGATGATCGGTTGTAATAAGCCAATCATCAGTTATGAGATTTTAACCATTCCCAACACTAACTTCCACAAAAATGGAAGTCGGGCAACTGGTAGTCTAGACTGCGGACTTTGTGTACCCTCTGAGATGTGTAAACTGGCACGGCTCCCATAGCCGAAAGCTATGATTACACAATGCCTTTTTAGAAAGTGGTCAAATGTAACATATGTCGTTATATTGGGGAATACACTTTCTTAGTAAAGTACAAATTCTAGTACTTTTTTTGGTTGAGTCCCATCCGGGATTCGATTGGCTACTGCATCACATCTCCTGAAGGGAATGTCAAATCCTACGACTTCCATGATCCCTACAGATTCGACTATGACACTCATCTCTATGACCTCCACTTCTAGACATCAGCCCACTTTTGCGACAGTCACTCATACGTCGCAAGCTACAGGCTGATGCAGCCGATGTTACGAGCATCTTGGGATCATTATTCCAAAGATACAGTCAAATCCCAACCTTGACTTTGATCTGATTGTTTGAGCCATGTCTCCAGCTTTAAAAAGTATGCTCAGCAGCCATGACCTGCAACTACAGACCAATGTCCAATCCAATCTCAGAGGTTGCCGATCTCACCTTCAATGGTTTGCCATATGACGTCTCCATCACCTACATACATAGAACCCATCTACTTTGGAAGGCAATATCGATAACATTGAGACGACTGACTCTGCGGATGGGGGTTCGAATACCAGAGGGGACTCAACCCAACTAAAGTACTAGAATCTGTACTTTACCAAGAAAGTGTAATCCTAAATATAACATATGTTACATTTGACCACTTTATAAATGGCATCGTGTATTCATAACCCTCAAATAGTTCTGTTTGCGACCAGGTTCAACAATCAGCTACCCAGATTCATATGAATCTGATAACCAGGAAGATAGCACTACTGTTCGTCGCTAATTATTGGCCGCCTTGAAGTTGGTTTGTTGATCTTCCAAGTCTTGCAGATCCAGACCTATTGGCTCTACCCATCCATGACAATGGGTTGATTCATCCACACTCCAATCGACTACACTACACGTCTGCCGCATCTACAGAAATCTTTAATCACCAGAGGGTACTCCAGAAGAGCTGCATTGGCAATTTCGACAGCTCATCATACTTCTACTAGCTCTCTTTATGATGACAAGTGGAAGAAGTTCTACGACTACTGCAGAATGAAAGGCATACTGTCTCTTGCTACAGCATCCGCCCTGATTATTACTGAATATCAACAACATCTGCAAATGTCTCAGAACCTGAAGGTGTCTACCCATGTTACATACTTAGCAGCTATCAACACTATTATAGCTATGGCGACAGGAAATATGACTCGACTGTGCCTGAATTCCAGTCCCTACTGCTCTCCTACAAGTTATCTGACCAATCTAAGAAGTTCTGAGCTCTGTCCTGGGACCTCTCGATCGTTCTGTGACATCTCATCTCAGACAATTATGAACCTCTAAAAGAGAAGATCTTCGGGTGCACTACATTCAATATTTTCTTCCTGGAAGCACTGGCTACTGCTGCTCGTAACACCCTGGACGTTGACCGAATACAGCTTGAGAGGAAGAATCACGGCAGAGTTTTTCCTGGGTCTTTGTTGGGACTGCATATAAAAAAATATACTGCCAGGGCAACCAAGTAGACTCTACACTATATTGCCATTGTCCACCATACTCAGGCCTGACGACTGAAGATCTCTCGCTCTGTCCAGTAAGAACACTGAAATTATACATTGGTGCCTCGCATTACCATCGCAGGTTGCGTATGCACCTGTTTATCCCGCTCTCAACCACATTGGCCTTCTGGATGAGATCGACCATCCTGCAAGCCTACACCTACGCCAGGCTTTCCCCTGCAGCTGCGTCGAACCCTCATGAGACTCGGGGCCCTAGCATTTATGGTAGCTCCTCACAGCACGTGTTTGTGGACATCTATTATGGAGGGGTGTTGTAGGTGATCAGAGACGGTCTACCACTACCTATGCGACCGCTCAGTGACTGACGTAGAGTGACTCCATCAGTTTTGTCCTTTGGTACTGGTGCAGCAGCTGTCCTCGGCCAGATAGTGACATCCTTTGCTCATGGAATCGGTGTTACCTTGTAAAAGTGAATAAAGGTGTATTCATACCAGTTCATCTTTGTTCTACTTTCCTTGGGCATAGATTTACCTCACCAGGATTAACACTGTGGCATTGCAGTACAGTCACCAGTGGACGACTTCATTATAGACTGAGAGGCCAGTCTTGTACTACGATGATGAGGTGATTAACACTCATACTCGTTGACCTCTACTCTAGCGAGCAGTCATGTCAGTGGAGTATGAATACCGAATTCCAGTGAATTTCGATGCGTTCTGCTCCTGGTTGCCATACACATCCTTTATCAAGCTTAGACAAAGGAGCGAGGATCAATTGATGTCATTCGGTTAAACAGTTGAGGTGACTGAGACATTCTGCCTTTTCGCCTTTATGTGTGATTGCGGGAGATGGTCTCGAAGCAGGGACTGGCCAGATTAGAGTCGCAAGACTTTAATTTACTGGGGCTTTCTGGAAATTGAAGAAGGGAAACCTGTCAGAGTTCCGTCATGTGTCCTTTGACAAATGACACGGCATGAAAACCATGTAAACACTACCTGGGCTTTTTGTGCTGTGTAACGCCAAGGGATTTTACAAGAAGCAGCCCAACACAAGTAAGTTATGCAGTCAATTGGCAGATTGCTCTCATAACCAGTCTCCTAGTGCATCATCATCACAATCATCATTGTTGCCATCCACTTACAGACACAGGGTAATCTACGGCCCACCGTCCAACCGTGGGATACGTACAAGTCATGAGATAGGATAAGTTCAAAAATTTGAAAATTTTACCCATAAATTGTATATTTATATACTTATCTCACATGATGGATTTCCGCCCGACCAACCCTGCTTCACAGATTACAACTATGTGCTCAAAGACAAGAATGACTACACAAAGGAATCACATGATCAATCAGAAGCTGCACGCTTCACAGGAGCTGCAAATACGGGAGCAGCAGGGGTGTGTTCGGGCAAGAGGTTCAGAGAGGCCAAAAGCTTCAGTTACAGTTCGTTTCCACTCAGCTGTCAAACCTGAGAGAAAGTACAAGATGTGAAATAGGATAAGTATTTATATATACAATTTACAGTTGAAATTTTGCTATGTGGCATGGTCCATGTGAAAGTCCATTTTTAGACCTTCCGGTATGTTTACATAGTAGTCCCGTTTGTGCCATTGCTGAGATGCTTCCATTTTACTTCGTAATACAACTTGCTATTGCTTAGTATTGAAGTGACAAATTTGTCTATGCCTTCTGCACTGAAGACACATAGTAATGCTTGCTTGGTTAATGTTTGAGAGGAGCAGTACTACCAGACTGTAAAGATTGCTCTCACCATAGAGCAGCGACCAGCATGGGATGCACACATTGCTCGGATCAGACCCTACAGATATACAGCTACCTCGTCTTAGGATACAGCTGATCATAGTACATTAGAGCTGCAAGGGATACATATTGGGAAGGCTGCTTATCCCTCAAACACTCGGTCAGCCAGATACACTTTCACGAATAAAGTTGACGTTGATTAATAGTTTGGATATCAGTGACAGTGTAGCTATTCACTATGATAACGGCCAGGACTGGTGTATCTCCATCTACAATGTGTCAGGATTCATGTATATCTCTATGATTTCCTGTCTCCAAATGTCAACATGGATGACTCTTCAGATGACTACCTGTATCTGAGAGATTTCTTTGGGAAAATGGGTTCCTAGTGTATCCGAAGACTGAGAACTTCAGCCCAAGAAGGTTCAGAAGTACATAGGGCCCATATTTGACGCTCATCAAGGTAGTGCCTGAAAACACTTTACAGCATGGGTGTGGCTATTAGGAGCCTTCACATCTATGCAGTCAACTTAACAACCAGCCTTACACAGTTCTCAAGCATTCTAGCAAAGCTAGGCTCCATCATTATCCTCTCAATACGTTATGGAAACCCATTGAAAACTCCACGGCATGACGAGAGCCGGAAGTTAACAAGATACACAAGCCAGGCAAGGGAGGCAACTCTGAAGCGCTACCAAAAAGGCATGCTGCTACACTTGCTGCTACAAATACTATTGCCATTGAACATATATGATGTGAGATGCGAGCCACAGCCCTCACTCAAAACTTTAAACATTGTGACCCATAATAACTATCACTTCTATCAATGTGATCTTACAAATTACTAAAAACACACTCTCATAACAATGATAATGTTCCAATTGTGGCTCCTCCCATTGAAATAATGTCCTATGTCATGCAAAAAAAGAGTCATATCCCATCCTAATAATAAGATCTTTTTTTTTCCATTACTCCACTTCTAAGAAATAATCAGTACCGTCAAAATCTTCAAGTAGGAAATAACTTAGTTAACCAGCTAAGTTGAATTTCAGAATGTTAACACAGGTTAGCACACATTGTTTGTGCCCACAGACTGTGAAGTGTTGATTTAAAGAAATATAACACACTTGTTGAAAACAGACATTGAACTATTTTATATACACTGTGAAGTTGTGTTTTACCTTACTTATTTTTCCTTATCCTGACTCATGATCTTTGGTTATCTCCTTTTCCCTTTCGATTGGTAGTGGAACACTTGAATCCCTTGAAGTTCCCGAAGCGGACGTACAATACTCACCCACGAGTTACCTCCCTTCCTCTTTCCCGCGCAAACGTACTATGTGACGTGCCCAGACTAATGTCACTCTCTCCCTTTTCGCCCAAGCGGATGGTTGGGCGAGCACTGGAGTCCCGTATACGGCAATCTATCATTTATATTCTTCTAAATTAAGCTGTGTATGGTTTTGTTTATAATTACGATGTAGTATTTGTACAAATTTGTTGAAATTTATTGACCTTGACTCGTGTTTTCATCGTGTTGTAACTTTGTTTACAATTCATGAAATCCTGCTGTGTGTGTAAACACAGATTGTCTCTGGCTGATCCTCACCCCCAATGTCCTTCGTGTACAGATCCATGTTCATCCACCTTGCGTTTTAGCTACTGTATTGATTGAACTGAATTACAATTTAATCAATATCTGTCTTATGTTTATAGACATGCCATGGATCGGGTGAAAAAGACATCTCTAGTCACATGTGATAAATCTGGACATCATCCCAAAAACCGTATGTTGCTTGCTGCTGATGTTCATAATAGTGATATGTTGACTAGTACATTAAAGAGCCAGTCTACGGCAAAGGGGGCTAAGAAAAGGTCGTCAACCTCGCAACCTACGCCGTCCCAGTCTAAGAAGAAGACGGTGTCCTCTTCTACTACGCAGAGAAAGTCTACGAGTACTAGATCTGAGGGCAAAACTACACGTGCTACCGCTGCTACCCAGAGATCTTTCAACGATGTGATCGTACCACCGCATGAGAAAGATGTATTTGACGACCCCCCTATACTACTACCTGAGGTATCGATGACATCTATGACACAGTCGATGTCAACTACTACTAGATCATCACCTATGAATGTCACAGCAGGCCAGCTGTTGGACATAAGACCTCTTCCTTCGAGGACAGAAGCTGAGGCACGGAAAACAGCATCGCAGTCGATTCAACAGATGCAGAACTTCGACCCGGGGGAGTTCATGACGCAGTTCACCAACAAGATGATGGCTATGATGGAGCAGAGATTCCAGCAAGAATCAAGGAAGACCCAACAGTCTACCGACACCGTGCGCAAACCCACTGGCCTGCGCGAATCTACACCCATCAGAACTACACCTGCAGTTGATGTTGGCGAACGTACTCCTCCGCGAAGGGCTCCACAACCGGACGACTCCGTCAAACTACGAGATAGTCAAGATGAGACGCAGTCCACGTTCGCAAACCCTCAAGGTTCGCGAACCTCTAAGAAGCCTGCCTCGACGCCTAACCGATCCAGATCAAGATCACCACGCAGACGTTCGCGAAGGCACAGCTCACCAAACGGAGGTTCACGAAGAAGTTCCAGAGAGAGATGTTCGCGAAGGGAACGCTACTATGACAGACGTTCGCACAGGGAGGAATCTTCGCGAAGGGATACAGGCTCACACAGAGATACGTCAACAAGACACAGCTCTCTGACTCAAGACACTACGGACCCCGTCTTCTCGGACTCTGAAGTAACGGCTTGGATTGCTAGCGGATTGAGCCTGGAGTCTCCCTCTAAAGATAGGAACGATTTTACACCTACATGATGAAGGATGATGACTTCGACTCCGTCACAATCCCACCGATCGAGCCTATATCCAGCGTACCGGACAGTCTTCGCACAGCCTTCGCGAAGGCTTCCAAGTTCCAGATGCAGCAATTACCATCTTTTAATAAGAAGAGATTCCCCCTACATCACATGGAACCATTTGTGAAGGCGCCGGAGTGGGACGACAACATCAAGTTGGTAAACGATGTCAGGACTAAGATGTATAAGGTGGATGATATGAAGTTATCACAAGTGGATACAGCTTCTAGAAAATCTTTCTTCGGACTAGCAAGATCTAGGGCCATCAACGAAGCGTTGATACAGAAATTCCAGAATTCCACCACGGAAGAGGATAAAATGATCTACTCGGCCCTCGTCACACAAAAGAAGGATCAGTTCTTCCTATCGGACCACCTCACATCGATTTCGGCGGCAATCACCTTGATATGCAGACAGGGTCTACTGGCGTCCTGCTCCTGGAATGACAGATTTACGCAGCCTCTATTACGAGCTCCGTGAGAGGCGCCTACCATCTTTGGAGGTCTATTGGACGATGCAGCTAAACAAGCTACACAAGACTCCAGAGAGGTGATGATGATCAAGACCATAGACACCTTGGCCAACGTCATCCGCCATTAATCCCAGAGATACAACAACAAGTCTAAGTACGCTGGGATACAGAGAGCTAAAGACAAAAAGTACTCCAGCTCCAGAGGCGGGAAGGACTCTTTTCGTCGCCCTTCAGGCAACAACAGAGGAAAATTAGGGAATTTTAGGAGACGACTATGCCTCTCAGGTACTAAGAGAAGGGTACAAAGTACAACTGAAAGATGCCCCTCCGTTAACCCTCAGCCCAATGATCTTCAAGTACGCAGAGGATCAGGCAGACAGATTACAAGAAGCCATCAACGCACTTCTCTCGAAAGATGCAGTAGAGATAATAGACCAGAATCATCTCACCCCAGGCTTCTATTCCCCAATTTTTCTAGTACCAAAGAAGAACTCCTTAGAGAAGTTCAGACTGATTTACAATATGCGCATATTCAACAGAGACTACCTACTGAAACCAGAGAGGTTCAGCATGATCCACCTACCTCAACTGAAACAACTCGTCCGTCCAGCAGATTACATGGCCAGCATAGACTTACAGGATGCGTACCTACACATCCCGATACATCAAGAATCAAGGAAATATCTACGATTCCTGTTCAGAGGGCAACACTACCAATGGAGCGTGCTACCGTTTGGAATATCTTCGACCCCGTGGCTATTCACACGAATAACCAAGCCTATAGTTGCATACCTTCATCAACGAGGTCTACGCAATGCCTTCTACCTGGACGACAGGATTCAGGTCCACCAAGATGCAAGTCTACTCAGACTACAACTGAACTTCACGATCAAGTTGCTCACTCAACTGGGATGGTTGGTGAACCTAAGGAAGTCAGAATGGGAACCAAAACAAGATCTACAATTCCTTGGGATAAGATTCATCACTACAGAGAATCGAATCGTCATCCCAGAGGATCGATGGGTCAAGATACAAGCCATGATTCCACCAGCAGTCACCTGTCCGTTAACACTACGATCATGGTAAGTTCTACTCGGTCTACTAACCTCGGCGCAAGACTTGACGCACATAGGAAGGTTATAGCTAAGACCGCTACAACGGTTCCTCATAAAGCATCTGGACATTGTCGACCCTATCCTGCTGCCCGAAAACCTCAAGAGGTATCATCTATGGTGGACACACAGGTCGAATGTCTGCGAAGGAGTCTATTTACAAGAGCTGGCCTTCGAGACACACCTCTACGCGGATGCCTCGTTGCAAGGATGGGGGGGCACATCTCAACGATCAAGTAGCGTCGGGAAAGTGGTCTCATACAGAACAAAAGCTCCACATCAATCTACTACAGATGAAAGCAGTGATCAACGCCGTACAACTATGGTCGAGCTTGCTGAACAACAAGATGTTGATGATCCACACAGACAACTCCACAGTGGCGTTCTCTATAAATCGGCAAGGATCCACAAGATCACCAAGCCTATTGCAGCTCACATTCCAGTTGTTCCAGATCATGCAAAAAGCAGACATCTGGATAAAGGCGTGTCACATACCCGGAGCCAAGAACGTACTAGCAGACGCTCTCTCAAGACCACTACACCTGTCACCAACAGAATGGATGCTCCATCCAGAAGCGTTTCAGAACATAAGGGAAATAGGATTCCCCTCCATAGACCTGTTTGCAACGAGGTTCAACAAACAACTGCAGACGTTTGTCTCACCAGTTCCAGATCCTCAAGCCTGGGCAACAGATGCACTGAGCATGTCTTGGGAAGGACTAAACGGCTACACTTTTCCACCCCCGATACTACTGTCAAAAGTACTGATCAAGATCAAACAGACACAGACGCTACAACTGACTTGGTCGCGCCATACTTTCCAGCGAGAGCATGGTTTCCAGATCTACTAGAAAACCTAGGAAGTCCAGTAATCAAGCTTCCAGATTGGCCGAACCTACTGATACATCCGCACACCAAGCAAGTCCATGGAAACCCAGCAGTGTTCCAGTTACACGTGTGGACCGTATCAAAATGTGTTTGAAAAAAAGAGGATACTCCGCCAGAGCAGCCAAAGCAGTAACTCGAGCGTTACGCAGATCGACTCGCAACCTATACAACGATAAATGGCTGAAGTTTGAAACTTACGCAAGGCGGAAAGGCTTCACAGCCATAATAGCTACGCATCCTCAAGTGGCGGAATATCTATGTCATCTGAGACAGACCAGACATCTAAAGGGTTCGACTCTATCGACTTACCTCGCTGCCATCAGTACAGTGATTACCATGAAAACAGGCATCAAGTTGACGAAAGTACCAGAATTACTTGCTCTACTGAGATCATTCAAGTTGGAGGACCAACAAAAGAAATTCAGAGCTCCAGCCTGGGACCTGAATGTAATTCTACGTCATCTTACAAGTGATGTCTACGAACCACTAGACCAGATCACGATCGAGCTACTAACACAGAAGACGCTGTTCCTGCTAGCGTTAGCCACTGCAGCTCGCATATCGGAGATACATGCGCTGGACTACGGTTGAACGACATTCGACAGAGGGCAAAATAATACAGTTCATCTAGGACTTAGATTGGACTTTACTGCCAAGAATCAACTACCTGGTCAACCAGATAGACAATTCCACGTACCAGCGCTGTCTACAGTCCTCGGCCCACAAGATATAGAGGACTTATCCTTGTGCCCAGTCAGAGCCTTGAAGGTATATCTTCAAAAGACTAAGACGAGGAGAAGGAAATTCAAGCGCGCCTATTCATCCCATTATCAACTGAGACATCAACTGAAGTCTCAAGAACGATCATATCGTTCTGGATGAGAGCCGTTATATTGAGAGCCTACAAAGCAGCAGGACTAGAACCTCCTAGAGCTTCCAACCCACACGAAGTTAGAGCACTGGCGTCAACATTAGCTCTACACGGAAATTGCTCTATACCGACAATAATGGAGGGCTGCTTCTGGAAGTCGGACACGGTGTTTGCCAACCACTACCTCTGAGACATAGCCACTGAAGACGTCTCAGGCATTCACCAATTTGGGCCTCTCGTTGTAGCACAGGAACTAACGGTTCCTCAAAGGCGCGCTGAGTTGAAATCTCACCCTTTATCACGTTGACTTGTAGATGACTTTTAGTCAGTTTAGTATTAGTTTGAAAGTCCATGTGCACAGTCTAGGACAGACTAGCATGAGTGATTAAGATCCTGTGCGGGTAATAACCTTACCTGCACATAAAGGGATCGCAACTCATTTATGATAAAGACCTTATCATAACCCATGGGTTGTTATAAGATATCTAGTACAGGAGCATACTAGTATATCTATTACCACACAAATCAACATGATTCAACTTGTCTGAGATTGAAGTAAGACAAGGAGTGGTCCCCCCGAGTTACTACGCAAGTTGGAAGAATAGGACCACGGAAATGCCGTTTGGAGTTCCCATGGGGGGGATACAGGACGTATCTAAGGACAGCTGTTGAATCCAGTGGCTTGACCCACCACCTATTCCGACAGATTCTATAAGCAAAGATCATGAGTCAGGATAAGGAAAAATATGTAATTTTTTTAAGTAAAATTGATATTTTATACTTATCCTGACTCATGACGAACAAGCCCTCCACAACCTCCCCGTTGAAGACACTTGTGATTTCACAGCAGATCCAAGTGCATGGGCGAAAATATAAGGAGAGAGTGACAAGTCTGGGCACGTCACATGGTACGTTTGAGGGGGAAAGAGGAAGGGAGGTAATTCTTGGGTGAGTATTGTACGTCCGCTTCGGGAACTTCAAGGGATTAAAGTGTTCCACTACCATTCGAAAGGGAAAGGGAGATAAGCAAAGATCATGAGTCAGGATAAGTATAAAATATCAATTTTACTTTAAAAATTACATTAACTTTCATTTTAACAGTGCTTGTGAAAGAGAATGGGTTGGTAAATTTTAGACCATACTAAATCACAAACATGTCTCATGCTATTAGATTATAAAGCTTGAAAATGTAATAATTGCTGTTAAGATTTTTGCATGACATGAGTATGTAAAATACATGAAATCAGGCAAAAATGTCAGAATTTATTGATCAGGTAAAAGATTCATATCAAAGTTTTTATTTATTGACTCCAATCTGAAAAAGGCAGTATGCGCAGATAAAACTGTTGGACTGGTTATTTCATGTTTTGTATTTTGTATGACTATTATTTCATGTTTTGTATAACTATTATTTCATGTTTTGTATTTTGTATAACTATTATTTCATGCTTTGTATTTTGTATAACTATTATTTCATGCTTTGTATTTTGTATAACTATTATTTCATGTTTTGTATTTTGTATAACTATTATTTCATGCTTTGTATTTTGTATAACTATTATTTCATGCTTTGTATTTTGTATAACTATAATGCAGAATACAGAGATAAGATAATTCCATGAAATATCAATGGAATTTGATGCAAATGTCTTGTAAACATATTCAACATACAATAAGGATTACAGAAATACATGTCAATGTCAAGAATCCCATGTTTCTGTTTTTGCTGACTGCAAGATCCCTATTGTGCTCAGTATTTGAGAATTAGTTATAGTTGGACAGAAGGACTTTTCACACTGCTATGTATCTTCAATGTGTGCAGTTAAACCATACACATAGCTATATATTCCTCGCTATCAAAAGTGGAACTACACAAACACAGTATGTATGCTCAATGTGAACATAGGTACAAGGTACCTGTGGGATATTGATCCTGATATGGATGTTGCTTCATGATCCAGGCATTTGTAAAGCTCGTAAAGAAACAACAGGAGGATGCAGAAAAAGAGAGGAAGATAGAAGAAGAAGAAAGGAGGAAAAAGGCTGAACAAAGAAAAAGAATCAAACGAGTCCTTGAGGCAGCATTTGATGGAGATAATGATGAACTACTGGCAGTATTCAGAGAGGTTAGTAACCATGGCTCCAAGAAGGAACTAGATGGCATGGTAGTAATAGTTTCAACAATATAGTCCCTTTAATAAAACACAAGCAGTATTATAATACCTGGTTATGTGAAATCCATCATAAATAATCTCTTGCTAACAAGTTTTATTGAATGTAAGTAGGTTCAGTTGTCAGTTGGTAAAGTCTTCTCTTGCTACAAATAGTTTAATGATTTTAATTATTCATGCACTTTTCGTAAATTACTGCTGTCTCATCAACAGGTATCTGAACTTGATGATAAGGCTGGTGTTGGTCATGATGACATTGGCCGTGCCATCAGAAAGAAACATCTACTTTCCTTGGTGGAGTGTGTAGATGCTAATGATAACAGTGCCCTGTCAGAGGCTGCAAGTGAGTCATCCATGATTCATGTGAATACAAAACCTCTCTTACATCATTGCAAAAATTCTTGTATTTTGACTGTCATCAAACAAAAAAAACTAGATTTTTTCAACAAAAGATGGCTTCACTCTTAACCATTCATAAGTAGTTGACTTACTAATAGTATCTCCCACAGTCACCCCGCACATACACAGCTAGGATATTTCACTTCTTATTTGATGTCATCATTGTGAAAAAGGAGTCACTTTTCTACACAGCAATTATTTGGTGTGTCATGCTGTATTAGATACTATTGTAACAGGGGATAAGTACAATAGGTGCTATAGATATTAGGAAGGGGTGGGCTAATGTTAGCAACTTAGTTGGGGGTATAAATTATAAATTCTGGTATATTAATTTTTCTTACTGGTGTTCGCGGAGGCATGTTGGTAACGGCTGTCGCTGGTTTGTTTGGTTTCGCTCGCCGTTTCGGCGCAGCGATTGGCTGCACGCACTGGAAGGTTCCATTCCAAGGGTGGGGGTGTGCTCCTCGCTTAGTGGGACAGGCCCGCTATTGCGTATATAAGGAGCGCGCCACAGGTGTTTTATTGATAAGTACAATAGGTGCTATAGATATTAGGAAGGGGTGGGCTAATGTTAGCAACTTAGTTGGGGGTATAAATTATAAATTCTGGTATATTAATTTTTCTTACTGGTGTTTGCGGAGGCATGTTGGTAACGGCTGTCGCTGGTTTGTTTGGTTTCGTTCGCCGTTTCGGCGCAGCGATTGGCTGCACGCACTGGAAGGTTCCATTCCAAGGGTGGGGGTGTGCTCCTCGCTTAGTGGGACAGGCCCGCTATTGCGTATATAAGGAGCGCGCCACAGGTGTTTTATTGTCTGAGTTGGAAACACCCAAGGATAGGTGAGCCCTTGTTTCGAGACGAAACAGCTTCCCAGTTTGCTTTGAGATAGAGTAGAATTTGCTCCATTAAGGACCAGTCCTTGTTTTGGGACGAAACAGTTGACCCCCTCTCACGGTGAAGCACTTAGGAAATAGGAGGGTAGACATGGGTATAGGTGGTTGGGGGGAATAAAGGTATTTAGTTTTAGGGATATATTTATATATATATACAGGGTAATTGTTAGGAAGCGAGAAGGACGGGTGGTCTTTAAAACCAACTACCGCTGTTATGAGTCAGCTGTAGCGTTTATTCTAGATTTATATTAGTTCGGGATTAGGTGGGAATCGTTGTCAATAATTTATTTGGGTTCTATTTAAAACTTCCCAGCAATATATTCTGTATCGTTTGTCCCTTTAGGGGGGTTGTTTTCTTTTGTAAATAAAATGGTGATATGAATGTACGTCCTGAATCGCAAGGCTGCATCTCGTAACTGGGGAAACAGCGTGGAGGAGAATTCTGCTCACGGATTGACAGGTTTATACCTGGAGCATTCCCTCTTGTGGCGAACATGCCAGTTGGAAAGGAAATTCACAACGCAAAGTATAACCACACATTTAACATGTAGTTTCAGCAAGAAAGAGAGAACCACGCTTGTTACACAATAATCTTGCATCTGTCCAAGTAGATCATTCCCTACTTAACATGGTTTCTGAATGTTCATATAGCTACTAGTTTAGGGGCTTAGGTATTGCTGTGCTGACCAAAATAGCTTCAACTGCTCCACCTGCATGTAATATTTGTCGGCACATAAAGATTTCTGACTTGGTTTATATCAAAAAAGAAAGTGGCGTATCTGTCTCACAAAGATTCTAAGTTTAAGTTGATGTCATCAAAGGCAATAAAAATATGGATCTTCATAGCTGTATCCCTTTCAAGGGTGATGGTCACAGGGGCAAATGAAGTCAAAGATATGCTTGACTGGACACTCCTTCTTCCTGTCATCCCCTTAATCCAACAACTGTAGATTGGAGAATAAGGCTAACTGGTTACTCCTTGAGGATCCATACATCAAAAACATGGAGACACAGGTTCTGGCTCCATCACCTCAAACACCCGCATCTGACAATGATGCTCCATGTTCCAGTGCACCCCAGCATCAGTAAATCCCAAACTACCAACCTTATCATCGGCGCCTCCATGCCAGGTTGTTTCCTCACTATCTTTCACTGGGTGCAACAGCTCTGTTGTAGGGTTCATCAAGAAACAGAGTACTTTGATGAGTCACAGTTTCAAGACATTCCATCTGTTTCAACTAACAGCTGACCTTCACATCTATCTGATATTTTTGTGGTTACGAAGCATGATGATGTGTGGGGAAAGAGTTGTTCCAAGAAAACAACTGGCTATGTCATTTGAGAAGTAGAGTACTTTGACGAGTCACAGTTTCAAGACATTCCATCTGTTTCAACTAATAGCTGACCTTCACATCCATCTGATATTTTTGTGGTTACGAAGCATGATGATGTGTGGGGAAAGAGTTGTTCCAAGAAAACAACTGGCTATGTCATTTGAGGAGTAACACTTGGATAAACTCAAGTCAATGATTGTTACTGCATTTCCTTAAAGCTAATAACGCTTTAAAAATTGGTCTTTTCCATTTGTCTCTCTCGGTTTGCATTTCTTCCATGTGCAATGAAGATACCTTCTACATTGGTTTTCCTTCCCACAAAGTACGATGCTGTCGTGTGGGAAAAGAGTTGTTCTGAGGCAGCTGCAGTTTTGAATGGTTAGTAGTAGACAGGAAATAACATAATGGTGATACAGGTCAGAGGTCACCGAAATGGTTCCAGGATTCAGAAAGTGATTGAATTGACATCATCAGTCCAAAATGATGCCATCAGGGCCAGTAGCTTTGTCAGAGGAGTCAATCAATATCAATCAATATTTATTTCCACACTCAAGAAGCCTCCGGCCTATAGTACAAATACAGTGAACAATTTTTATCCTTTAGTAGATTTTTTAAGAATTGTATTTTTTTCTGTCTGTGGTAGCGTAATAGATATACATAGATAGTCTTTCTAAATGTACTCTACTAGAATTGGTTAAAAGGGATATGAATTTGTAAATGTCAAGATGTATATAGTAGAAGCTCTTAATATACTTATTTCTCAACATATAAAAGGCTGGACATATACAAAGAAAATGGTACTCGTCTTCAATTACATTCAGATTACACATTTTACATGTCCTATGTTCTTTTATTGAACCTAAATACCTACCTGATTCTATTAGCAAATCATGAGATGAACAGCGAAATTTGCGCAAGGCTTATTCTGAATTTTCTTACGTTTAACACTGACAGATACTGTTTTTTGTGGATAGATTGTTTAATCATTTTATAGTAAAAATATTTGCTAGAAAGAGATAAGTTTGCATACCAGTTTTGCATGTACATATCTTTAAGTCGTTGTTTAACAGATAGCAGGAATAATGAATGAGATTTTATATGCTGTTCCTACCATGCATTCCCAAATCTGATAGAAAATAATTCTTTTACATCTGTGACCCAATTCCTTTTCCATTTGTATCATAAATAATCATCATATTATAACATTTGTTTTGGTAATCTGCTTGGAGCCATACTCAATGATTTTAACCAATATTTGACAACCTTCATATTCGCTTCAATATATAAGGGAAATCTACCACACTCGCCATATACTGTTGAATTACATGTATTAATTTTTACCTCAAGATATTTCTTACAAGCATATAAATGAACTTTTTTCTATGGCATTGGATGCTTTGATTCCCCAGATGTCAGCGCCATACAAAAGGATAGGGCATATTTTAGCATCAAAGATCTTGAAAAAAGAGTTGTATGATGAGTCACCAAGTGTCTTTATATATTTCATAATGCCTATTAAACTCTTTTTACCTTGCAATGAGGCTTGAATTGAATTGTATGCATGTACCCATAAAAGGTGGTTTGTAAAGTTCACACCTAAATATTTATATGAATTACTTGTTTCAATAGCATCGCCTTTGTAATACCATTTTTCACCTTTTGCCAATTTTCCACCAATTTTGAAAACAATTATTTTTGTTCTAGTTTTATTAACAGTCAATTTATAATCATTGCAGTAATTTTCTAATTCATTTATCAATTTTTGTAAACCTCCAATTGTACTAGAGAAGAGTGTGATATCGTCAGCAAGTAGTAATAAAAAGATTTGAATTGTATCTGGATGTAACTGAATTCCTTGTGTACAGTTTCCTTGGATCTGGATCGCCAATTCATTGATGAAAAAGGAAAATGAGAAAGGGCTTAGGATACAGCCTTGTCTGACTCCAAGTTGACTGGTAATAGTGTCTGACAAATCATTCAGCTGAATTCGTTTGAATCTTTATGCATCTTACGGGTCTGCCACGATGGGGGGAAGGGAGTGGGGTGGGGTGAGAAATGTTATACACATGTGCATATGTTAAATCATTATTGAATGTACAAATGATTGACCTTTGGTCTAAATAAACATTCATTCATTATTATTTCTGACATATCTTTACATTTTCAAATATACTACGCAATATGTTGTTCATTTTAGAACTCACACCATGTCTTAAGTAAAATATTCCATAATTTATCTCTACAAACCGAATCGAATGCCTTTGCAAAATCCACAAAGAAAACATAAAATCTCCCTCCCTTTCTGAGTTTAGCATTTCTGTACAATTGTATGTAAAATAAATATGTTATCAGTGGTGGTGTATCCTTCCCTAAAACCGGCTTGTGATTCAATTATTTTATCAAAAGTGTCAGCCCAAAAGACTAGCCTTATATTCAGTATGGATGTAAATATATTGCTAAATACACTCACGAGAGTAATGCCTCTATAGTTATCTGTGTTATTCAAGTCACCTTGTTTATGGATCGGGACAACAATACCTGCAGACCAAGAATTTGGGAAGTATCCATTTTCAAATATCACATTAAATATCAATTCTAGTTCAGGTTATAACATGTCCGCTGAATACTTAAAAACTCAGAAATAGTTTGGTCTATTCCAGGTGATTTATTAAGTTTAAAGTGTTGAGTACTGGTTAAAAGCTCATCCCTTGTGATAGGAGAATCAAGTATGTTGTCAGTCAATTATCTATTATTACCTAAAATATCAAATAGATTTTCAGTGGATACCATTCATTAATTGAGATGTCATTTCTTTGGCTGAATTTACTGTTCAATGACTTCAATGTATGCCAAAATGTTTTAGAGTTATTAATACAGTTTTCAAGATTTTTCTTGTATTCACTCTGTTTTTGTTTGCACATCACCTTATACTTATTTCTGCTATGGTGATATTGGTTTAAAGAATCCTAAATTTATTAAGATACCTGCATCTTTCTTTTTTCAACATATCCAAATCAGCATCATGCCAAGTTCTTACATAAGATCTTTTAGAACCTACTTTCTTCTTCATGTCATATCCGGCTGTGCATAAGGCTTCAGCAATAAGTTCTATACTTTTATCAATATTAGTAAAGGCTTTATCTATAGATTTGTTTAGTAGATCTTGCACAGAGTCAGATAGAAGGTTTTGTCTAAACTGCTCGAGTTTATCATTATCCCAGGTACATTTATAAGAAATCTTTTCTTGAGTTGTTGGGTAAGTGTGAAGTGCACGTAATTTCAACGTAAGAGGAAGGTGATCAGATTTAGTGTGAGGCGGAATAGCAAAGTTACGGACTTGATAAAAAAGGCTGAGGAGGCGATTATATAATCCACCACACTTGTACCGTTTACTCCAATAAATGTATATTCTCCTTTCTCTGAGTTAGAATCGCATCGGTCACTATAACATGGATATTGAGGACTGAGCACAAATCTACCAACACTATTCACAATTTTATCACTAGAGAAATGATTGAGAGTGAAAAACTCCACTAGAAAAACCCACATTTAGTGATTCTGTCCTTCTAGATTTTGTATGATGTCATCCTCAACAAAATCCGGAATCGTACCCGTACAAGCATTGAAGTTACCACCAAACAACATATATACATCATTTGATGGCACTGATAGTCTAAGTATGTCTGATAAATTATCCTGGAAAATAGTTATTCCATTCTTAGAGTATATTCCGGGTTTGTTATAAAAGGTAGAACTTTCTGGGTGGATGTATACACATGCGCATAAAATATCATATTGAAGGTTAAAAAGTGTTTTGTCTACCAGAAGGAAAATTGCATTTTCTGTTACTTTACACCACAGTACATACTTGGCCAGATGCGATTTTAAGAGCACACATATCCCACCAGAAATTCTACCACTTTTAGATATCTTTTCTGCTTCTCTATTATTTACTTTATAGTCTGAAAACATATTTTTGTCATCAATGACGGTAACCAAATTTTCAGTAAGACCAATAATGTCAAAAGTCTTCACATAGTTTACAAAATCAATGTCATTTAGTTTGCTTAAAATACCTGATATATTCCAAAATATGAATTGAACAGTCTTTAACAAATGTGTGATTGTCAGTGGCAGTCTCACACTGATGATGAGATGTAAATTCTCTGTGGCCCTGGCCACACCCCTATCTGGCTTCTCCACTGCTGGGGTGTGAGCTAGACCTCAGGCCCTGTTGTGTATCTTGTAGAGGTCATCTCTCCTCTCTGAACGCCTGGTTCTATCCTGTTGGTCAGAGCTCTCTCTTGGTTCCTGGATGAGTTTGTTTCCTTTATGATAGTATCTGGTGTCTGGGTTATTTCATCTTAACCTGTTAAATACTTGCCTTTGATGTGGTGTGAGATCGTTGGCAATACTGATTTCTTTCTCGTGCAGGACATCTCTCAATTTTACTGAATGCCATTTATCCTCCCAGTGGCACATTCTCACTATGATATGTCTGGTCTTGTCCTGCCTGGGAGAGGATACCCTGTGAGCTCTCTCTGTGTCTCTGGCTGATAAGGGCTGGAGTTTCTTCACCTCCCTGGCACTGTTGAGGATCTCCAGGACCTTGGTTTTACTCTCAGTATAGGTCTCCTTCCCTGTTTCTTGTATGCCATACAACACCATGTTGTTTCTTCTGTTTTGTTGTCCTTGGTCCTCCAATCTGGATTCAAGATTACCCAGATAATATTCCATTTCATCGGTTGTATTGTTAATGGCGTCAGTCTCCATCCTCAAGATTTCTTGTCTTTCTTTATTCTTCAGTAGATCTGCCTTCAACTCCGTTATGTCATCTTGTATTGATAATCGTTCTTCAGATTCCTTAAATTGGGTAATAATGACTTTCTTGAGATCATCAAATTTCTTGCTAGAGGGACCAGGGTGTAACTCAACATCCCCTGCCCTGTGTATCATAGATGGTACACAAACACTACAAGATAATGTGGATGTGACTAGACTGTCCGGTTTACGATACATAAACAAACATACCGTTGGTGACGAAACATCGCAAAAATCACCTTGGGCACACATGGATGGTGGCGGAATCAGTGTTGGTACTCTGTCTTGGGTACCTAGAACAGTCAGTGCCAGCAGCAGAGATCCACACAACACAAGCCTGTACTCATCTGCCATACCTGGCATCCATGTCGACACCGAGTTGTAGGGCTCAACAGTTCCAGTCCACCATCATTCACCCATATTTTTTACTCCATCAGGGGCAGTAGTTCGCAAAAAATATCACTATAGGGGACCTGTCATCAGACTGTTACTCCCAATACTACTCATTATCTTTCATTTCATTTCTTCTAGATATGATGAATATAAAATAAACGTGATGTAATAGTCATCTCAATACCAGTGTAACAGACCAAACTTTCCCGCTGGCCAAACCTTCCCCGGGGAAACTTTGGCCTAGAATTGCAATTCAATGTGTACATCTTATGGTGACATGATTTGAACAGATGAAGAACTAATGCAATGTGTCTTGATAGGAATGGCGGTAGGAGCAGGATGGATTTAGAGATATAGTCTCCCCTTTTCATAGAAAACAGAACAAAATATTCTAGCCTAGCCCAAACTTTTCCCGGGGTAAGAATAACCTAAGACAAAACTTTCCCGGGGAAAGTTTGGCCTAGGCGAGATTCTCCCCGGTGAAAGTTTAGACCGGGGAAGAAATGACCTGCTACACCGGTTTTCACAAAACATGATTTTGTAAACACTATCCAATATGACGGAAAGTGCACTTTGGCGTTTTCAAAAATATCCCAATCAATTCTCGGTTTGTCGGCAACGTTTCAGCACTATCAATAGTGATTTCATGAAAAACTGATATCAGCGATCATTAATGTGCTATTTTTGAAATTCAATACTCTGAGTAATTTTCCGATTTTTGTATTTCAAGACATGCACCAAATAATGCTGTGAATTCCGATTTCGTAATGTGTCAAAAATGGCAGCATTTAAGATGAAGTCTATTTTGAAAGGTCTTATTCAGCACTTTAGCTTTGTCTAAGATAATAGTGAATAGTATTGAGAAACAGGAAATTTCCCACAGAATTCAAAACTGTGAAGTGTATTTGTGTGCATGATAGAAGTGAAGGTTGAAGAAGAAGGACATATATGTCCCTGTTGCATCCAGGGGGTTAAAGAATGGTGGACATTATGTACAAAATTGTGCTATCTTTGTCACCAATGAGAATACTGTAGACACCAATGTGAAAAACCTGAAACAAAGTCACGTAACATGAAACAGGTTTCTTTGTCAACTGCAGATGAATGGCATATTGTTTCTTTATGTGGATATTGATGATACATTCCTCGAACAAGGAATTTTGCTATAATTTTAGTTGGTTATAATTTTGATATTTGTATTTTGTTTTTATTCATTTGTTGTAGCATTCAACAAATTGATTCGGGGTTTTTTTGCCATGAAGTTCTTCGATGCGAGACAAACAACATGCACTAAGTCCCACTTAGGGCATGTGTGTGTGTGAAATATGATTCACTTGGGCAATCTATGAAATATCAAGAAATTACAATCATTTTATATATTCACTAAAAACAAATAGTATACTTCTTTATGAGGTTCCATAGTGAATAAAAATATAATGATAAATTAATTATGCTGGGATGTTATGTTAAGACAAAAATATAAAGACCTACATTGACTTCGTTTGCTTTCAATCCTAATATTTTTTTACCACTGGCAAATGAAGTTAAACTTCAAAATGTTTTCATTTCTTATCATGATAATGAAGATGGAAATATTTATAGGTTTAGAAGGTGATTACATTTTCCAATTTATTTCAAGACGAAACTGTGTCTAATCTTTGTTGATCAATGTAAGGATACACGCTTATACTACCAATTGTGTTGCGCAGCAGTCAAGTATTGTGGGATATAATCCGGGTAGTTGTTGGGGAAAGACAATAGCAAAAGCAACAACTAGTGCTGGGAATTGCTCTGGATCAGTGCCCCTTTAATGGACCAGACATTTACATCATTTGCATATCTTATATGATCCCATTGGTTCTGTTTAGAAGTAGCAGATATTATAGTCAACGTGATTAAATCTTCATTCGAAGTTGCAAAGAATTTCTTTCATGATGTAATAAATATATAATTTTGTAATTATTTTGTGTGTGATATTATGAAGAGTGATAAAAGTGTTTTTTTCAAGATGGTGGCTGTGCTGATACACTTCATCTACTTCTCGAGCATGGAGCCAACCCCAACACACAGGGCCAGTTTGGGCGCACTCCACTCTACCGGGCAGCATTCGCAGGTCACCTGGAGGCATGTCAGGTGCTCACACTAACCGCACTTCCTGATACAAGTGATAGTTTACATATTTTGGACTCTGTCCGTCCATGCATCCATGCAAATTCGTCTTTTCTGAAGCAGAACATAAAAACCATTCAATATTTCATCACCAAACTTGGGACATAGATAAGTCTGTTTGTGAACTGGTGCCGTTTTGTAGTTTTGTATTTCTGAATAAAATAATTTTGCGTTTCCATGGCAACAACTTTGACTTCGACTGAAATTGGTGCTAAAGTACTGTCGGAAATGCTAGAAAAATGCTTTTTGACTTATATTTAAAATTCAGAGGTATTACAGTTACTTAAATAACAAATATCACTTCAAGAAACATCTACCTAATGTAGACCGAGAGATCAAATTTTGAGACATGCCCTAAAATGTGTTTTTACTGATGAAAAAAACAAAAACTTAGAAAAATAAGGGGTAGTGGGACGTTATTTGATACAAACATTAATTGCCTGTGTTACGTCATCAGCATCCACGGTATCGACAGGTGAAATTGACACCTGAGCACACGCTCGGGCAAGGGGTCATCTCAATAGATATTTTCTGCAAAATGTTGAATATGTGTGCATTATAGTATAACGATCGGTTATGTAAGGGATCATTAGTGTATGTGTGTTTGTTTTGAAATAAACATACGAATTACTGTACATTGGAAAGAGTCCAATCACTTGTGTTATCTGATCGATTGATTGTAGAAATGTGCAACGTTTTAATAAATGTTTTGCATGTCAACAGTATATTTCATTGAAAACATATGGATGTAATTCGGTCAGTTTAATCTAGTTGTGAACATTGGCCAAAGATTTAACGAAGTCACTGGTGTAGCTTCTTTAGAATATGTATATTTTTCTTCTCATAAAGTTTGTAGACCGCCCGTCTAAGCACTCCCTTGTCAAAGTTGCCAAGGATGGTTTTACGTCCCGGTTTTGCATTTGAGACGGTCCCTGTCTTGTCTGATTTGTTTACAATATTGTAAACTTGTTGGTAAGACATGCCAACAGCTCTACAAGTTCTGTAATAAACCCTTTCTAAACTAATGAAAGGTTTAACTCTGTCTTTTTAAGCAGAAAAAACCCATAAACCTTTGCAACAATTGACTGCAAATCGTTGGCCTTAGTGGACGCTGTGATAAAGATGTGCATGCATGACGGGAAACTTATTTATCAAGACTTAACATTTATAATAATATTTCTTCAATAAAGAAACGATAATTAAGTAAAGTAACACAAACATTGAATATTTATTTGTTTAGGAAAAAACGTTAATTCATATTTTTACACCACCTGTATTATTGGCATAAATGTAAAGACTATTTCAGATTTCTGTTGTTGAACTCTGATAAAATATTAAGTTGCTGTTTTGGTACCAAATTCTCTCCTGTAAACTGCCTTTTAAATGCATGGGAATGTTAAATCGATTGAAATAAAAATTAGGTACACAATAGGCGAGTTGATATATTGACAACAAAGTACATTTATCACCTTTATAAAGATATTAAGGCTAAAAAGCATTTTTCTAGCATTTCCGACAGTACTTTAGTGCTCTTTTCTGGAGCAGAACTTTAAAACCTTTCAATACTCTCTTTCCACTTTGTGGGTTTTCAAGAACCTGATGACATAAATAAACAGTACCACGCTATTTCCAGTGTCAACATTACTAAGGTACATCAAACCGTGGAAGCACTCAGGCAGTCTGTTGTTGATACAAGCATGCTAGTATATGAATAGTTTGCTTATATGTGTTTTGTTAGAGCAATGTGAAGAACAATCTAACATTTGACAGAGTCATAACTAGTTGATATATTCGTGAAGAGTATTTTACCATTGTGAGGGATATTGATGACTTTGTCTGCTTGTTACTCTGTTGACACCAGTGTTAAGTTTGAATGCAATATTAACATCTGATATAATACAATGTTTGATTAGGTCAGTTTATGTCATCTTTCTACAAGAAGTTCTAATGTACCAACAGTGGAAAGAGCATGTGAGTGTTAGAGGCATACTTTGAAAGGTGTATTGATGAATTAAACTGTTGGTGTGTAGGATGCTGCTGCAGAGAATGCATTGGTAAACATAGGCCGTACACCATTTCAATCAGGCTGAAATATTCACTCAACTTCATCCTAAAAACTGTACATTTCCCAATTACCAGTAATGTGACACAAAAGCATTAATTAAGGACCACCTGAATCCAAGGGCAATTTTTAAATTTTGGTCCAAACAGGCAATCATACCCTAGCATAGTGTCGCACAATATGAGTGCTGTCTAATTTTTTTGCATTTGTCAATAAGATCAACAAGCTGCCATGTGTACAAAGAAAGTAGGATTGGTCCCATTACAGATCAATTCAAAAGGATATCTATAAATGAAATTAAACAAATACCTAGATTACCGAAAGGTAAATATTTTAATCCATGAGATTAATTATTATGTTGAGTGCTTTCCTTATAAAACATGTAACTGCTGAGATTAACGGCATAGATTTATTTAATCAAATATAACAATTTATAATTAGAATTTTCTAGAATTCTATAAAATGGCAGTTTTAAAAATTAAATATAAATGGGTTTACTTTTGGATCAAGTCCCAGATGTGACTAAACCCAAAAATGTTCTAGAATCTGTACACTGATTAGAAAGTGTGATCCCATATATAGCATGTTACGATTGACAGCTTTGTAAAAGGCATTGTATATTCATACAATTTGACATTGTCCAAGACTTTTGATTATAACATTTCTTGAGTTTGTCATGACATCTTCAATAGTAAGAATATGTTTACATGTAGCATACTTGTAAGTTTGTGCAGGAAAAACCGCATGTGGATGTGATTATGAATTCCTTGTTACTCAACCTTCTTGTAGACAGCAGCTGGAAAATTCCTGATGTCCTGTAACAAGTATTGGGAAAGAAGTAATTTTTGTATGAATGAATGCCTTCACTGGAACATGGTTTCAAAATAAGCTGTTTCATTGAGGTTGTTATCAGGAATTAAAACTTCTGATTGCTCAATTAGAATCAAGTATTTAGCAAATTTATTGTGAAGTCAGTGGTTATATTTATTGCAGGTGTTGATGCAGCATGGAGCTGATCCTCGGATATTTGCTGCTGATGGTCAAACATCAGAACAGGTGTGTTTTTAAGAGCATGAGGAATGAGGACACTTGACTGTTTTATGGTAGAATGCACTTCAGTCTGAATTTACAGGCTGATGTTGAGTATGATGATCACACTGGCCAGATGATATATCACACTGGTACATAAGCCGGTGTAATTCTACATGACAAGACCAGCTGATGTAAAATTAAATGGGAACTCTAGCATCATGTTAGTCTACATGTGTACACATGCTGATCTTCAGTTACATATGGGCGGTGGGGTAGCCTAGTGGTTAAAGCATTCACTCACTGAAGGCCCAGATTTGATTCCCCACATGGGTTCAATGTGTGAAGCCCATTTCTGGTGTTCCCTGTCCTGATATTGCTGGTATATTGCTAAAAGCAGTGTACAACCCAACCCAACCCAACCCATAAAGAGAATATCAGCATCACTCAAGATTTCTAGTATCACAGTTGTAGCAAACACCAGCAGTCGGCCATCTTCTGTCATTTACACAGAGGAAATCCCTGCCTTCATATGTTATGGTCCATGTTCCCTCTAGCTTTACTCCAGCTCTGGTGTCTGGCAATTGTGGGATGGATTTTGCTCTGTTTCTGTACAGTGAGGCCTGTACACTGGGAAACGAAGGTGCGGTCGGAGTGTCATCTTCATGTAGGAGATTGAGTATGGGTTTGTAGATCTGTGTACCAGTGATATGTCAGTCTGGACACACTGATTGAGTCAGCAAAGTAGTTGGATGTGTTCTTTGTTCTCAAAATGGGGATAGCTGTGAACACTTGAAGATACCACATGGCCCCTGATAGTACTGCATCTTCCTTGCAACCTCTAAGTACACACTTCCAATGTGTAGAAACCTGATGTTTGACATTCAGTCTGTAGCCAAAGTCTGCAATGGGTTAGGAGTATAATCTCCCTTTAAATACCAGTTTATGTGCTTACTTATGTTTTTATCTTATAGTATCATTGTTTAAAGTAACTTTACAAATGTGCATAGAGTACGATCTCTCTTAAATACCAACTTATATGTGTGACAGATTTATCTTATATCTTTGTGTTAACTTTAGAAATGGGTCCGGTCTACTAAGAATAGCAGTGATGCTATTTGGGTTATGTTTATTGTTGCCAAAGTGAGGTGCAGGCCACATGAGGACAGGCCTACCAGTCTGATCTTACATTGCATTGTTCCGTAATATAGTGCTGTGGTGTCACAGGTTGCATCAGTGGAGGCTGTGTGTCAGTTCTTGGCACAGTGGGACATTGGTCAGACAGAGGTGTTGCTGCAGAAGCTTGAAGCAGACAAGGAACGGTGGTTGGAGGAAGAGAGGAGGGGACTGGAGGCTGTACAAAACAAGTAAGTCCATCAACAGAAGAAGAGGAGACAGACAAAACAAGTATGTCCACCCAAAGGAGGAGAAGTAACGAAAGGCCAAATACAATGGGTAAGTACACACACAGGAGAGAAGCTGCACGAAACAAGTAAGTTCATACGCAGGAGATGAGGAGACAGAGGGCAGAACGAAAAAATTTAATAACAAATAACTTTACATACAGGAGATGAGAAGACAGAAGGTTGTACATGATGAGTAAGTTCACACACAGGAGATGAGAAGACAGAAGGCTGTACATGATGAGTAAGTTCACACACAGGAGATGAGAAGACAGAAGGCTGTACATGATGAGTAAAGTTCACACACAGGAGATTTGAAGACAGAAGGTTGTACATGATGAGTAAGTTCGCACACAGCAGATTAGAAGACAGAAGGCTGTATATGATGAGTAAGTTCACACACAGGAGATGAGAAGACAGAAGGCTGTACATGATGAGTAAGTTCACACACAGGAGATGAGAAGACAGAAGGCTGTACATGATGAGTAAGTTCACACACAGGAGATGAGAAGACAGAAGGCTGTACATGATGAGTAAAGTTCACACACAGGAGATGAGAAGACAGAAGGTTGTACATGATGAGTAAGTTCACACACAGGAGATGAGAAGACAGAAGGCTGTACATGATGAGTAAGTTCACACACAGGAGATTTGAAGACAGAAGGCTGTACATGATGAGTAAAGTTCACACACAGGAGATTTGAAGACAGAAGGTTGTACATGATGAGTAAGTTCGCACACAGCAGATTAGAAGACAGAAGGCTGTACATGATGAGTAAGTTCACACACAGGAGATGAGAAGACAGAAGGCTGTACATGATGAGTAAAGTTCACACACAGGAGATGAGAAGACAGAAGGCTGTATATGATGAGTAAGTTCACACACAGGAGATGAGAAGACAGAAGGCTGTACATGATGAGTAAGTTCACACACAGGAGATGAGAAGACAGAAGGCTGTACATGATGAGTAAAGTTCACACACAGGAGATGAGAAGACAGAAGGTTGTACATGATGAGTAAAGTTCACACACAGGAGATGAGAAGACAGAAGGCTGTATATGATGAGTAAGTTCACACACAGGAGATGAGAAGACAGAAGGTTGTACATGATGAGTAAGTTCACACACAGGAGATTTGAAGACAGAAGGTTGTACATGATGAGTAAAGTTCACACACAGGAGATGAGAAGACAGAAGGCTGTACATGATGAGTAAAGTTCACACACAGGAGATGAGAAGACAGAAGGCTGTATATGATGAGTAAAGTTCACACACAGGAGATGAGAAGACAGAAGGCTGTATATGATGAGTAAGTTCACACACAGGAGATGAGAAGACAGAAGGCTGTATATGATGAGTAAAGTTCACACACAGGAGATGAGAAGACAGAAGGTTGTACATGATGAGTAAAGTTCACACACAGGAGATGAGAAGACAGAAGGCTGTACATGATGAGTAAAGTTCACACACAGGAGATGAGAAGACAGAAGGCTGTATATGATGAGTAAGTTCACACACAGGAGATGAGAAGACAGAAGGCTGTACATGATGAGTAAGTTCACACACAGGAGATGAGAAGACAGAAGGCTGTATATGATGAGTAAGTTCACACACAGGAGATGAGAAGACAGAAGGCTGTACATGATGAGTAAGTTCACACACAGGAGATGAGAAGACAGAAGGCTATACATGATGAGTAAAGTTCACACACAGGAGATGAGAAGACAGAAGGTTGTACATGATGAGTAAAGTTCACACACAGGAGATTTGAAGACAGAAGGCTGTATATGATGAGTAAGTTCACACACAGGAGATGAGAAGACAGAAGGCTGTACATGATGAGTAAGTTCACACACAGGAGATTTGAAGACAGAAGGTTGTACATGATGAGTAAAGTTCACACACAGGAGATGAGAAGACAGAAGGCTGTACATGATGAGTAAGTTCACACACAGGAGATTTGAAGACAGAAGGTTGTACATGATGAGTAAAGTTCACACACAGGAGATGAGAAGACAGAAGGCTGTACATGATGAGTAAAGTTCACACACAGGAGATGAGAAGACAGAAGGCTGTACATGATGAGTAAAGTTCACACACAGGAGATGAGAAGACAGAAGGTTGTACATGATGAGTAAGTTCACACACAGGAGATGAGAAGACAGAAGGTTGTACATGATGAGTAAGTTCACACACAGGAGATGAGAAGACAGAAGGCTGTATATGATGAGTAAAGTTCACACACAGGAGATTTGAAGACAGAAGGCTGTATATGATGGGTAAGTTCACACACAGGAGATGAGAAGACAGAAGGCTGTACATGATGAGTAAGTTCACACACAGGAGATGAGAAGACAGAAGGCTGTACATGATGAGTAAAGTTCACACACAGGAGATTTGAAGACAGAAGGTTGTACATGATGAGTAAGTTCACACACAGGAGATTTGAAGACAGAAGGCTGTACATGATGAGTAAGTTCACACACAGGAGATTTGAAGACAGAAGGTTGTCCATGATGAGTAAAGTTCACACACAGGAGATGAGAAGACAGAAGGCTGTACATGATGAGTAAGTTCACACACAGGAGATTTGAAGACAGAAGGTTGTACATGATGAGTAAAGTTCACACACAGGAGATGAGAAGACAGAAGGCTGTACATGATGAGTAAGTTCACACACAGGAGATTTGAAGACAGAAGGTTGTACATGATGAGTAAAGTTCACACACAGGAGATGAGAAGACAGAAGGCTGTACATGATGAGTAAAGTTCACACACAGGAGATGAGAAGACAGAAGGCTGTACATGATGAGTAAGTTGACACACAGGAGATGAGAAGACAGAAGGCTGTACATGATGAGTAAAGTTCACACACAGGAGATGAGAAGACAGAAGGTTGTACATGATGAGTAAGTTCACACACAGGAGATGAGAAGACAGAAGGTTGTACATGATGAGTAAGTTCACACACAGGAGATGAGAAGACAGAAGGCTGTATATGATGAGTAAGTTCACACACAGGAGATGAGAAGACAGAAGGCTGTATATGATGAGTAAGTTCACACACAGGAGATGAGAAGACAGAAGGCTGTACATGATGAGTAAAGTTCACACACAGGAGATTTGAAGACAGAAGGTTGTACATGATGAGTAAGTTCACACACAGGAGATTTGAAGACAGAAGGCTGTACATGATGAGTAAGTTCACACACAGGAGATTTGAAGACAGAAGGTTGTACATGATGAGTAAAGTTCACACACAGGAGATGAGAAGACAGAAGGCTGTACATGATGAGTAAAGTTCACACACAGGAGATGAGAAGACAGAAGGCTGTATATGATGAGTAAGTTCACACACAGGAGATGAGAAGACAGAAGGCTGTACATGATGAGTAAGTTCACACACAGGAGATGAGAAGACAGAAGGCTGTATATGATGAGTAAGTTCACACACAGGAGATGAGAAGACAGAAGGTTGTACATGATGAGTAAGTTCGCACACAGCAGATTAGAAGACTGAAGGTTGTACATGATGAGTAAGTTCACACACAGGAGATGAGAAGACAGAAGGCTGTATATGATGAGTAAGTTCACACACAGGAGATGAGAAGACAGAAGGCTGTACATGATGAGTAAAGTTCACACACAGGAGATTAGAAGACAGAAGGCTGTGCATGATGAGTAAAGTTCACACACAGGAGATGAGAAGACAGAAGGCTGTACATGATGAGTAAAGTTCACACACAGGAGATTTGAAGACAGAAGGTTGTACATGATGAGTAAGTTCACACACAGGAGATGAGAAGACAGAAGGCTGTACATGATGAGTAAGTTAAAATATAGGAAATGAGGTGAAAGAAAGCTGATTAAGAAAACTAAGTGATCATCTATTGCAGCAATACATGAATATATAGTGTATCACTGGATCTCTTTTATTGATTTTCAACCCATTGTGTGACTACAGAAGTCACTCTCTCTATGTATATATCAAATTGGCTCACTGTTGATTAAGACTGATTCCAATGCATTGATTACCTGCTGGTATCCAGTATTGTCTATTTAAAAAGCTTGTAGACTGTTTGTGTATGCTTTAGTTTCAGGCCTTGACAACAGGGCAAAGCACTACAGTTTGTCCTCCTTTGTGACCACTGAAAAGATATATGACCTGTATATACCGAAGAAACAATCAGCACTAGTTCTGTAGTCACAACAGTGGGGTAAAAAAGATCCAGTGATATGAACACAATGTTTCTCATTTTAAAACAGATTGGAGGAACAAGTAAAGATTGCTCAAAAAGAATTTGTCTCAAAGCAAAAGCAGGTTTGTATGTTTTGCATGATATATTTGTTGATAATGTATATATATTTGTCCAATTATGGATAGCAACAGCTATACAATGCTTACAGTTCATATGTTTAATGGTTACCACAGTGTTTGCATTTGCAAACAGCTTATTTCTGTCAAGGACCATCAATGAATAATGTTTAACACAAAACATTATGTTACAATATTTATCAATAACTGATTATTTTTCATAACAGAGTGGGATTGTGGTGTAATCACAGAAAATGATCTACATCATGTGAAGAATGTTAGGATCCCTGCCACAACATTATTGGCGCATGGTTACAAATGGTGTAATTATATGTGGCAGACTTATCATAAACATAATTACAAAGGCTTGAAACAATTCTTGTATTGCCCACAAATTCATGAATTCTTTCACGAGTTTCACAAAATCAACAAGACACATATACAGGAGGAATAATTTCTATATAACCCATTATTTGGTATCCTTTTCAAGCTCCACTTTACAAAATTGCACTGATCATCACTAGATTACCACTGATCTTAGTGAACTACTTTTGTCAAATGATGTCAGCAGTCAGCTATGATACCCTCTCTTGTACGATACCAGCCTTATTGACAGTATGCAGAGTCATTCTTATTTTCAATTATTCTTAACATAGTGAGAAAGCTTAAGCTCAAATACATGTCAGAAGGCCAACAGGATAATTTACTTACCCTTAATCTTCCTTTTGCTTTTCAAAGTCATGGTTTTCCAAGACCACAAGCCATAGCGCTGTCCTGATTAGTGTTTTACATGACTGTTGCTGTCTTGATTATCCACCACTCAAAGGTTCTGCTATGTAACTGGTTATTGTACCAGTTAAGTGTATGCACGTGTGTGTGGGAACCACATCACTAATGAGGTAATTACTAGGACTGACTGTGGTAATGAGGGCAGGACATAGAATTTTGTGAAAATTCCTGATCCAATGACAAAAATCTAACACAACTGAACCTAACACCTTGTGCTATTCCCCGCCAATACCTTGAACCTGAGTAGTATATACAATGGGGGTTCTGGATCACTTTCAACAAAAGCCTCTGCAAAGCCTTATTTGGTAAATAAGGCTTTTGTCGGGCCCTTAGCTCTTGCTACCATTTCCCCTACTATGAAAAAGTTTGGGCCGATAGCGGTTCTGGATCACTTTCAACCAAAGCCTCTGCAAAGCCTTATTTCACAAGTAAGGCTTTGGTCGGACCCTTAGCTCTTGCTACCATTACCCCTACTACAAAAGTTGGGGGATGCGAACGCACCTCCTAGCCGCGCCGCGGGGCATGGCTGGAGTAATGGGACACCGCTATGCTGGAGGTAACACTGTGCCGTACGGTACGATCAATAATTCCGCTCTTACAAACCCCTACCTGGCCCATTCCTCAAGTAGTACAAGTTAGGCTCGCCTGCTTTGATGTCCACTTTATCTATGTTGTAAGTTTTGACTGACCATATAGGATCGGTGGCTCGCCACGGCTATCACCCTCGTGTTCCCCGGCTGGTATAGATACCTCACTAGGGCCCTATCTGGTATCTGTTTCTCTTTTCCACGCAATGGAGCAGCCGGCTCTGCAACTATTGATTTTAGTTTGATAGCGCCTGCCGGTTTCTTATCAGTGAGCCGGGTGACTTCATGGTTGATTGCCGACACCACCTTGGGTAACCTCACACCCATTCAGTCGATCGCTTTCCCCGGGTTACCATCTCCTCGCGATACTGATGGTCGAATAATCGCTTCAGCCAAAGTCCTATTAAATCTCTCAACTATGGCTTGGCTGCGATGGGCTCCAGCCGCGCCACGCCTGACCTTTGTATCGCGGTTTGGCCAGCAGTTGTGACACGGCACCCATGAACTCCCCGTCCGGGTCAACTTGCAGCTCTGTGGGCCACGCCAGCGGACTGCGCGCTTGTATATGTCAATCCTCTGGCTACCTGGGCCGAAGTCTTTCGCGGTCAAGGGTTCAGCTTCCTTGTAGCGACTGGCTACGCCCACTACGGTTAAGGCATACTTGTACCTCTTGTCGTCGGGGTAGGAACAGTAGGTCTGCCTGGTGAACGTTATTAGGTATGTTAATACCGAACCTCCTTCTAGGCACGAGCGTGGTGCCGGCAAATAGATCTGCCACAGGGCTTGTTTTCAAGCCACGCTTTGGCCTCCTCTGTGGGTACTCGCCATTTTAGCTAGCTTATCTACAGCACTAGCTCCTTTCCAGTACCCACGCCGGGCTGTAGTAAATAGCCTCAAACTTTCTCTGGTTTCGCGGACATGTCTTGGTTCAATTTTTCATGCCCATACGCCGCACGTGTTTATCCCATCAATAGCTATCCAACGCTTAGTGTCCATAGGCGACAGGGACGCCTTGTTTATAGTCAGTCCGTGATATCTTATGCCCATCACTTCTAAGTGTGTTCATTTTATGCCTAAAGGTACGGGTCTTGAACAGGGCTTCCTTTGAATCTGGCGCGGTTTGATGTGTTGTTTCACCACATACTTCTTAACACCCTTAGCCTTCCGGATTTCACCATTGTCGGCCTTCAGTATGGAGTACATCTTAGGCCTCAACCCTATGTACTCGGCTATGGGCGTGCCAGCACACTCATCCTTCATCTTACCTAGGACCTTTTATTTACCGTACTGTGTATGGCATGGGCCTTAGGGTAATCGCTGGTGTCATACAAATCGAGGTGTTTTTCATGTCAACGCATTACGCCCTCGGTTCAATCTCCATCAGCAGGGAATCCGTGTCAGTGTACAGAACTTCACACCTGTCGTCGACTGTTTCTTGAGCTCGTTGTAGTAAAAGTCGCACATCAGGTGTTTGGATAAATCGAGGATGCTCATCCCCACGTAAACAGGCCGGTTGAATTTTATGTGGCTTTTCTTCATGTGTAGGGCAACTAGATCATCGGTGAATATCTTGCTACGGTTGAATGCCGGACTGGCTATCAGTCTCCTGAGCTTGTCTTCCTCATTCGACCCGAACCAGCTTCACGGTCACGCTGCTTCCTCAGGTTCTCCATAGTCTTACCAAACACCGAAGTTGTTCATGAGCTTGTAGAGATTTTCTCAAAGTCACTGGTGGCAAGCTTTCGGAGGTCTGTGTTCATTCTGATGTAGGTTCCATCCAGGGGCTCTGGGTGAACACGAGCACCCTGTGTATTTTGGTCAGCCTCATACCCAACGACAGGTACAGCTGTAGGTTGCGATAGTGAACGATGTACTTGGTCTTATTCATTAAGTTGGGAACGAAGTTTTTCAACGTCTGTCACCCGCCCACCTAACAAGTTATGTTGGTACTCAGACATCCAGTCTGGGTTAACCCTCATACGCTCGGGGCCAGGGGTAGCTGTTGTGTGATGTGTGTAATGCCTTGGGGTATTCCAAGTCAACCTCGAGGATATAACCTTTATTTCAATCTGGTGCGATGCTCATAACATCGACCTCCTGTGACGCCCATTCGAACCCCTGTGGGTAGATACTGGCTCATGGCCCAGCCATACAGGTTGTTGGCGCCGAGGTAGAGAATGTGATTGGTTGGCTTGCTAGGGTCGTGAGCCCTTAACGTATTGATTATTTGCTTTTCAGACGCTTGGTTGCCATGGAGATCCCACCTCGCAAGCCTTTCTCAATGAATAGGTGCATGTCATAATCTGTAAGCAATTCCAACTTAACTCCGGTCTTTTAAGCAAGGCATCCCACGACAGACCTGGGCTGGTGTAATACCACGCGGGTCGAAGTTTATACTGCTTGAAACACGCCCGCCTAAACGCCTCAAACACGCCGGCTAACAGCAGTACATCTGTCCTCAAGTACAGGTCATGATAATCCCCAGGTTCTTACAACCCAGTTTATTCCATACATTAATAGCATGTGAGTAATCATCTTGGGATATTTCCGAGTCTGTCAGATTGCTGTAAAATTCTCTGATGGGGGGTAGTCTGGTCTCAGCGAACTTGGGCCAACTATCCATGTACTCATAGGGGTACACACCCTTCCTCATAAGCAGGGGTCTAGTCTCGATGTCTGTGTATCGGTCGGTGATAGGGAAGGTATCGTTGGCCTTGACCAGACTGTCTAATGAAGACAATAGAAATTGTACTGAATCTATGAACCTAAGGCCGTTTAAGCTGAAGGAGATGTATCTCTCCATGTTGTTGGGGATGCACGCTATATTACCATCGATTTTCGCGATTGCCTGCATGATTAAGTGAGAGTCGTACATCTCTCAAGTTGTGAAAGACAACGGGATGTTTATTGTCTTAGGGTTGATTCTAAGCTTGAGGTTACACGCAGCTGTGAGCCGCGCTCTATACTTTTACCGGTTACGTGGCAGTGATCTCTCACCCAATCACCATTCAGTGGTGAGTCACACACGTGACAGTTAGTGCTACAGGTGTGAGCTAGCCTGTCGGCTCGGTCATACGCATGGGAGCCGACTCTATACAGTGCATTCCTAATAATTTTTCTTCCTCCTGCAAACACTTTAGAAACCTTTCAGCCGCGCCAGGGCCCCTATACACTACGGAGCTTTCGCTTCCCCATCACAACGATCTACAATGTATCCAAACCCACAGGCTTCATGCTCTTGTGTTTTGTGGGTGAAGCTCTCACCTGTGGGAGCCCCGCCTGTGGGGGTATCCCCAACAACTGGTTTAACCAAGGCTTCAAAGTCGGCGTATATGATATAAGGCACAGACATTTGGTTCTTGTGGTTGCCGAATTTTAGGATATTATCACCTTCCTTAGGCATGTCGACTCAGATAGCCGCCTGCCCCACACCTTGACAATCCTCCCGGTGGGATTCTAATAAATCAGCTCGTGGTGAAGCCATGTAGGCACCGCTCGCAGAAGTGGGTCTTTTCTCTGTGTGCCGATTGGTCATACAACAGCCTGCTAAAGTGTTTTATCCAAGCGTAGTGGTACTTGTCACCTCGCTGGATCATGAATATATTGATAACACGTTTCCCCACCACTGGG